GTTAGGCGTTAGGTTCAAGGGAGGATAAGGCACTTCTTGACCTTAGGGAGCTCAGAGTCTGATCCTAAATCAGAGTCAGAATTATGAGTTGAAAAGGATCAAAATGAACTACCTGCAATACCCTTAGTTTGTGTACAAGGCAACTGAAGGCAAGGGAGATCAAACGGCTTGTTTAAGGTCATATTTGCTGTTGTCAAATCGTGGATTTAAACTCAGGATTCCTGACTTGCTTGTTTCTATCAAAGACATCATAACTCTCCCAGTCTCTCCTGCTTTCAGGAGACACATGATTTCTCATGTCTCACCATCAATGGCCAGTCAATCAAAAAGCACTTTAGTGTCTTCCTTTTGGGAGGCTGAGGTGAGTGGATTGCCTGAGCCCGCGGGTTCGAGACCCGCCTGGGCAACTTGGCAAGCCCTCATCTCTACAATAAATAAAAAAATCAGCCGGGCATGGTAGCACATGCCTGTAATTCTGGCTACTCGGAAGGCTGAGGTGGAAGCAACGCCGGCACGCAGCAGGTCGAGGCTGCAGTGGCCAGGAGCAGCCACTGCACTCCAGTCTGGGCAACAGAGTGAGACTCCAACTCAAAAAAAAAAGAAAAGAAAAGAAAAAGAAAATCTCTTGCCTCCACCAGTTTCATTCTTTTCTGACCACCCATGGGGCTGTTCCAGGTCAGCGTCATACTCACACATCACCACAGCCTTGCCTGCAGGGACGCACTGGGCATTCCCCCTGTCTGACCTGCACCACCCATGTCACCTCTGTTCACTGGCCTCCAATTCAATCTACACACAGTCCCAAAGGCAATCTTTCCAAAACCTCCTGAACACATCATGCTCCTGCCCTACGCCCTGCAGTGAGTCTCAGATACCCTTACCACCATTAACAACACTGGGATCCACAGACTACCGTATCCAGGGGATGTTCTGTGGAGAGGGTGTCTGTGGTCATAGGGAAATGCTGCTTGCACTCCATCACTTGGAGAATCACCCTCTCTTGAAAAAGTGTCTCCCAAACTTATTTGACCTCAAAACTCCCTTTTTGCAAGGAGCTCACATGACCACCTCTTAGATCCAGTGTTCCCAGAAAAGCACAATGGAAGATAATAGTCTGTAGGCTAAAGCATAGCAGGCTGGTCAGGTAGCCCAGGTTTCCTCAACCATCCTTCCTAGCCAGAAAAGCAGGTCATTCTTATTTATCATGACACGAACCTAACAGTTCCCTTTTTCTTTGTTTTTGTAATTTCCCCAGTTGGAAACATTCTCCTTGTTCCTTTCCACTTGATTAAATCTTGCCCTTCCTCCAATATTCAGTTCAGGTCTTCTATAAATCCTTTCCCGACTCCCTTGGCTGAGACTACTATAGCATTTATTTACCTGTATCAGAAAGCCAGAATCTCAAAGTAAAAAACACCCAGGGTTTACATTTGTGCCAAGAAGCCAGTGAAATGTCAGAATTTTCCCATCAAATATCTTCAAAAGTAATTTATAAGGTAAGATTATATTACACTCACAAACAAGAACTATATTTATATAAAACTACCAGGAAGAAGTTTTAAGTAAGAAGATTTAACATCAATAAATAATCCACTATAACTGACACTGAGTTCTGTTGATTTAACCAGAATAACTTTAGAAAAACACTTTCATGCCTTCACTTTCATTTTGCAAAAATTGTCAAGAACCTTAATAAATACTATTATGAGAAAAAACTAAATAGTGTATGGAAAAAACAAAATCATGATAGATTTCATAAAAACCATTTATGTTTGCAAGTGAATATTTTCACCTTCCTATTTCTGGAAATTTATTTTCCACACATTATAAATAAAATTATTCTCATTTATTAGAAACTGACCTACCGTATGACCCAGCAATTCCCCCTATTGGGAATATACCCAGAGGAACTCAAATCATTCCACAAAAAAGATACTTTCACACGCATGTTTATTGCAACTCTATTCACAATAGCAAAAACATGGAACCAACCATGATGCCCATAGAAACTGGACTGGATAAAAAAACATGGTACATATACACAATGGAATATTATGCAGCCATAAAGAAGGACGACAAACATATGGACTTCTCAGCAACTTGGGTGAATTTAGAGTCTATCATACTCAGTGATCTATCACAGAAACAAAGAACAGAGTATCATATGTTTTCATTCATAAGTGAACCTTGAACAATTATCATAATACTATAAGAAAGGGATTGGCAGTAGTGGGAAACTGCCAGGGGAGGGGGGTGGGATTGGCAGTTGAGGGAAACTGCTAGGGGAGGGAGGCACACACCTTATCAGCAGGGGTACCTGCATAATGAACATTTGTATACCTAACCCTGAATTATATCCCACATCTTTAAAATAAAATAAAAAAGAAAAGAAAAAGAAGGTCTTTCAACATCAGGAAAGAAATTATTCTCATCTATTTTAAAAGCATATTACTAAAAATTTTTCTTCCTAATGGTGAAAAGATGCCTTGTGATAAGAATGCCCAATTCAGTTCCTACCTGGAATTTAAAAACAATCATATTAAATGCTGTATTTTAACACATATATACCTCCATCATGAAGCTTTGGGTGATGAAAGGAAGCATGAGAAGAAGATCTGAGGTAATTTCAGTCTTCCTACCTCTGAATTAGAAATAGGAAGGGCTCATCTGTGGCTTCCTACCCGCCTTCTCCTGACCACATTTTGATCTCAGGACCACTCACTTCCAGGATGAGCAATCATCAGCCTGGATCTCCAGGAACAGCTAGGAAGAATCTTGGACTGTGTGGACCTTACCTTGCACCAGTAATTTGTTCCTGACCTTTTCTGTACCTCTGGGCTTGAATTATTTTCACTTTTGGCCCTCATCTTCATTTAACCTCTTGCTGGTCTAACCAATTATATCTGATGATCTCTTTGCTCACTTAAACCCTAGATAATCTTCTGACATGACAAAACATTCAGCCTCAATCCACAGCTCTGAACTTCTTTTCCTACAAGAACATTTATTTCAAGCAAACTGGTCTAATCATGGAGGCTTGAGTGAACTGTGCCACACACATTTACAATTTCATTTTCTAGAATCCTGTCCTGTAAGACCCAGCCCCAGATTCTCCTCTCAAGAATCCTTCTCTGACTTAGCCTATGAAAATCACCTCAGCCTTTGAACTAGTATACTTAACTGTCTTCATCAGTGATTCACACAGCAGGTCCCACAAAACATCAGTCTCAGAGGATATCTCCAAGGGGATAGATTTCACTGGAGTTTTAAAACACACATTAGTATATTAAAGACTTTCCAAAGTCTTACAACAAGAAAACTTTTAGAGCAATGTTGTATCTATGGTTTCTCAAATTTATTTAGCCATGGAACTCCTGAGTTTCTATGTTATATTCCTTTTAAAAAAAATTAATTAATTTTTTTTTTTTTGAGTTGGAGTCTCACTCTGTCACCCAGACGGAGTATAGTGGCACACTCACAGCCACCCCAGCATCAACCTGCTGGGCTCCAGTGATCCTTTTGCATCAGCCTTCCAAGTAGCCGGAACTACAGGCACACACTACCACTACTGGCTGTTTTTTATTTATTGTAGAGATGAGGTCTCACTAAGTTGCCCGGGCTGGTCTTGAACTTGTAGGCTCAGGCAATCCACTCCTCTTGGCCTCCCAAAGTGCTGGGATTACAGGCTGAGCCACTGAGCCCAGTCTAATTTTTTTATTTTAGAGATGTGGGGTACAATTCAGGATGAGGTATACAAGTAGTCACCATACAGGTAAAGTTTGGGCCTCCCTTTAGTCGCCACTTTGCCTGGTTTGAGATCAGGTACGCTTATTGCTGTTATGTGCCCCTACTCTCTCCCCTGGCAGTTTCCTGCTACTGTCAATCCCTTTCTTATAGTATTATAGTAAATGTTCAGGGTCCGCTTATGAGTCCTTTAATAACAATTTGGAAGTGTTGATGTAAGGAAAACAAGTCTGCATAAGTCAGTGGTATTTCCCACAAATGACCTTGTATTCTAGTGTGTCCTTGCACTCATGTCTTTTCTCCAACTAGTTTAAATGGCAATAACCCAACACCTCTAACTAGCAGTGGCCTTCCTCAACTCATACTGCTGTTTTTGTTCATGTATCACTCTATGCCTGCTAAGTGTGAGCTAATGTACATAGAAAGCACATAGCACCATGCCTAGCATGTGGTAAATATACAAACTACTAGCCACTTTCATTTTGAGGCAATGGGGAGAGTGGTTAAAACTTTAGTCTGTGGAATCAGACAGACCCATTCTAATTCTGGTGCAGCTCTCACTAGGTAGACTGTGAGGTCAAGGACCACATCTGTTTTGTTCATCAATGCTTGTAATATACAATGTACCTGCTACAGACCATACAGTCAATGAGTATTCATTGAATGAATTAAGGATAAGACAGTTGTTAACCCAGGTGATTTTGCCCACCAGGGTATATTTGGCAGTGCATGAAGACAGTTTTGGCTGTCACACTAGCAGCAAGTGGATAAAAGTAGAGATGCATTCAGGACAGAGAATTATCTAGCCTCAAATGCCAACAGTGCCAAGGTTGAGAAATTCTGTTCTATAGTCATGGCAATCAGGGATGAATTTCTAACTACTGGCATTAGCTGTTTGGCCTTGAGCAAGTTATAAAATTTCTCTAAGTCTTAGTTTCCTCATCTGTTGAATGAGATTCTAATTATATCTTGTAGGGTTGTTGTAAGATAATACAGGCACAACTGAAATTAATGGGTAATTCATATGAATTGTTCAACACTGATTGGTGCACAGGAATTGTGATCTATAAATGTGACCCATGACAATTCATACCATTAACTTTCATCTACAGTCTTATGATGATGAGGCTCTTCAGATGGACTCTTTACTTTCTCAGAACTCATTATTTCAATCCCAGAGTGGGTACTTCCACTGAAACAAGCCCTGTGCTCCCATTTACATTTACTATATGGTCAGTTTTTATTTAAGTGCTCACCAGGGGCTCCATGGTAAAAATGCTATCTAAGAAGAGCATGCTGTCTCCCTGAACCAGCCTCTTCTGATTCTCAAAGGTGCGGGACAGAATGGAAAGTTGTTCTCGGAGTAAAGGATCAATAATGCACTCTTCAAGAAACTCATCGGTCTCATCCTTTTCCTCTTTGATCAGATCATCACAGATTCTAAAGAAAACACAGGAAATGCAAGATTCATTTTGGTACTCCCATAAAAAACCTTGTAAAGAGCTTCCCTCCTGTCCATCATCCAGGAAATATCCTCACCCATCACCATCACCCTGAGGAGGTCCCTTCTTGGCCCCAAGTAAGACATACTGGATAACCTTGTGTTCAGTCCTCAGACCTCTCAGAGCTTCAGTTGCTCATTGGTTCACTCCTAAGCCCTATGTATATCTGGACAAATATTTTCTTTGAGGTAATTGTGTTTTTCTGGCTACTTCTTAAATATTTAACATCTATCCTGCCTCTTACACAGCAAGGACAATTTTGTTCCTTTTAAATATGCTTAGCTTTAATTCTTTCTTAGCTGTTACTTACCCTAGAGTATAGAACCTGGAGCCAGCAAGGACTAGGTTTGTATACTGATTTATGACCTATTTACTATCTCTGTGGCTTTGGGGATTGCCCAATTCCCCTAAGCCTCAGTGCCATCTCTTGTTAGAGATCACAGGAGTGCCACCATCAGAAGAACGTGTTGAGGGTTGTGACCAAAGCCCTGGTGCAGTTCCTGGGACAAAGCTGGTGCTCCATACATACCCGTTTTCTCCCTCTGTCAACCACAGGCAATCACTAAGCTGTTAAGCTTATAAAATGCTCAAGCCACACTTACAGATATCTCCTTTTCTCTCTCTTTCTAGTTGCTAATATCCATCAAGATAAGTGAGAACAGCAGCCTCCCTGAACTCTCCACTTATTACCCTCTCCAGAGCCATGTTCACATTTTCCTGAACTTTGCACACTGAATTTTATTTTCTCTGATAACATATGACCACATTCCCAGCATTGTACTAGTATTACCAGTGGTCAGAGACAAATTATTTAGCGAGGTGAGTGCTGAGTTGGAGCTTAGGGTCACTGAATTCCTGTCCCAACTCCAAATATTGTTAATATTGTCAAATAACTCTTTTAATAACTTGTGTCTTCAGGTTCCTTTGGTCACATAGAATAAAGAAGTCAAAGAAATGGGCTCAGTGTGTTCTGGTTCCAAGGAAGAAAAATATTCTGTTCTTGCTTTTTATTGCCAGGTAGGAAGCAGTTCCAAGGTAACTGGTAGCAGTCCTTCCACACTGCTGGGCAGAGCAGGGCAAATTAAAGACAACTCAGTTCACAGAGATAAAATAATCCATTTCTTTTTTTATTGTTATTTGATTCCTATCTGAAAAACTTATAAATTATAAACCATCAGAAACAAAAATTTCCACTTGCAGGAATAAATTTTAAAAGTTCATGGATATAAACAAAGAGATAGCTATAAAGATGTTTATCAAAATGCTGGAATGACACCAGTTGAACTGGGTAAATTGGATAAGATACTGAAGCATTGGTTAAGCAAAAATGGGAATCATAAACATTATGTGTATTGGATACTTGCTAAACCCTTCACATGTATCGTGTAACTTAATACTTATAACCACCACATGAGGTAATTATTATTATTATCATTCCCATTTCATAGATGATGAAACCGAGGCTCAAAAAGTTTAAATAACTTGTCCCAGATCACACACCTGGACTTCAAACAGGGTCTTTTGCCAGGCATGGTGGCTCACTCCTCTAATCCTAGCACTACAGGAGGCTAAAACAGGAGGATCACTTGAGGCCAGGAGTTCGACACCTTCCTGGGCAAAAAATAGAAAAATTATCCAGGCATGGTGGCACATACCTGTAGCCCTAGCTACTTAGGAGGCTGAGGAAGAAGGATTGCTTGAGCCCAGGAGTTTGAGGCTGTGTTGAGCTGTGATCATGCTACCGCACTTCAGCCTGGGTAACAGAGTGAAACTCTATCTCAAAAAACAACAACAAAAGAGAGAGAGCAAGAGAAAGAAAGAAAGAAAGAGAGAAAGAGAGAGAGAAAGAGAGAGGAAGAAAGAAAGAGAGACAGAGAAAGAAAGAAAGAAAGAGAAACAGAGAGAGAGAGAGAAAGAAAAAGAGAGAAAGAGAGAGAGAGAAAGAGAGAAAGAAAGAAAGAGAGACGGAGAGAAAGAAAGAAAGAGAGAGAGAGAAAGAGAGAGAGAGAGAGAGAGAGAGAGAGAGAGAGAGAGAGAGAAAGAAAGAAAGAAAGAAAGAAAGAAAGAAAGAAAGAAAAAAGAAAAAATAGGGCCTTTTGAACACCCTGGTGCTAGCCAATATGCTACAATGCCTCCTACGCTGCATCTGTATCAAGGGAATAATAAGCAGCTATTAAAAATGATATTTTAAAAGAATATTTAACATCATTTTCAAATGTCAAATATTTTATAGTGAAAAAGCAGGTTATAAAATATAATGTATAGAGTAATTCCAATTTTGCAATAAAAAAGAGAAAGAAATTAAAAAAAAACATACTTATTGGGAAAAAGAGCAGATTTAGAGATACTAAAATAATTGTGGTCTTCTCTGAGTTGGAAGGATTAGAATTGATTTTTACCTTCATCTTTGTGCTTATCTTTATTTCCAAATTGTATTGGTTCACACTGTATTTGTTTTTAAAATAGAAACCAAGTCATTTTTAACATTAAATGTTAATCAATTCTCAGACTGAAGCACTAAAGATTCTTCCATGGTTGCCTAATATCCAGACATTGGCATGAGCCCATAGATGCCATCACCAGAAGAGTGCACTGGTAAAATGTGGTGTTGCACAACATAGCATGATATGCAGCAGGTAGACCAATGAATTGAATAAACACAGAACCACATGAGTGGATTTTAAACACAGAGTATGGTGAAGAAAGGAGAAAACAGAATAGAATACAAAATATGACCTCTCTCTCTCCCCTCAAAGCAATATTTTGCAAGAACAGATTCATATAAAAAGACATACATTAACATATCAGAAAGGTATTTTGGGGGGAATTAATGAGAATGGGGATGCAAGAAAACAAATAAAATGCTTTGTGTGGACCAAGGATGCAAATGCTTCATGAACTGAGGGTATGATGAACTCAAACCTTGCACCAGAAAACAGAAATTCCCAAAGGCTCCCATGCTGTTGCAACTCCAGGTCAGTAACAGACAAAGGGGAGGAAGGGGTACTGGATGTCTTCTGCTTTATTCTTTGATGGAGAACTGGAGCCATGGCCAAGAGTCTAAAGAAGAGATGTACATCACTAGCTTCAGCTGGCTTGACTCCAACAAGGACTTTCATATATCTCAGTCTACTGTTCTGCTATCTTGTCCTGCTAATAGTCATAGTTTCTTACACTCAGAGGTGATCCTGTTTTACAGATGAGACTTCTCAACAGAGAGTATAATAACAGAACAGCCTTCTCTTACTGTAAAACCATGAACTTAACCCATTTTACAAATGGTCTGGTAGACACCAACACTGTCACCCTCAGGCATCAAGTACAGGCCAGTCTATAGATTATAGTCAGCATGGAAGACTTGTATCTCAGGTGCAGTAGGATTGGACCAGTAACACTCCTTCATCTTGAGTTGCTCAAGACCTGCACTCTGCTCCCTTGAAGCATTCACACTAGGTGGTAACTGGATACTGAGAGGATTAAAAACTAAGGGCCATGGTGTCAAGAGCTGTAAGAAATACTCCCATGCCCACATTTGGCATGAAAGGAATGGAGCCATCCTCCAGAACTATGTGACCCTGAACAATGAGCAATTCTGTGATGACTATTATAAACTGAGGATTAGAGGTCCTCTTCCTGTTTTCCAGGTATGACTTCAGATTTTTGTATAAACCCTAGGGGAAGGAAAAGGGCCTCCAAACATAACTGAGATTAAGTTTATTATGACCCATGTGGTAGGTTCAAAGTCCAATTAAAACTGATTTATCTAAAGAAATGTGTCATTTCCTACACTTGATTGTTTTGGAATAAATCCATGCTGACCACTTTGGGGGCTCCATTGAGAATTCTGGGAGTTCTTGTACAGAGAAAAGTTAGAATTAGAGCCAGCTGCCATTGAGACAATGGCCATGACCTTGCTGAAGAAAATGGGAGAAAAAATCCTTAAAGCCCATGCTGAGTCTCTGAAAACATAAATGTGATGAGAATGAAGATGAAAGAATCTTGCAGAATGTTTTTAAATCCCTCAGGACAAGGGTGAGGAAGCAAGGAGAATGAATGCAGCCTCCATTTCTAAAAAGATTAATTTCTCCACAAGCCCCAGAAAAACATCAAGAAAGAGAGAGAATAAAAAAAAGTATTTTTGATGATCCCTGTATCTGATTCCAAAGTTAAAAAAAATTTTTTTTTACAGCCCAGAATGTCTTCCTAAGGAGAGGGATATCCTCATTACCAAAGTCTGGAACATGGGAAGATCCCCGTGTCCCCAAATCTGGACATGTGTCCTAAGGTTTGCAGCAACATGCTGAGATAGATAGAGAGGATGTCCATCATTCTCAGAATGGAAATAGGGACTCCTTGGGTTGAAATTCCTGCACTGGAAGAAGAAGTCTTCGGTCATCATCTGATGCTAGAAGACAATAAATCTTCATGGGTAGAATAGGACTTGAGGATATCCATTAAAGCTATTAACTTCCTCAAAGTGATCTTTGAGTAACTTTCAGCCCCTGGAGATAAATGCCTCAGGACACAATGTAGACCTTGTTAAACAGCCAGGAAAGCAGTGAGCAGGCTCTTTAGTCTTACCTGGAAGTTTACATAGAAGTTGAATCTTAGATACTTGACGCCATTCAACAAATGGTGCTGAGAAAACTGGATAGCTACATGTAGAAAAATGAAACTTGATTCCTATCTCTCCCCAGATACAAAAATTAACTCAAGATGGATTAAGGACTTAAATGTCAGACCTGAAACGACAAAAATCCTAGAAGAAAACCGAGTAAAGACTCTTCTGGACATCAGCCTAGCTAAAAAATTTATAGCTAAAAAATTTATAGCTAAATTTATAGCCAAAAGCAAATGCAATAAAAACAAAAATAAATAAATGGGACTTAATTAAACTAAAAAGCTTCTGCACAGCAAAAGAAACAATCAACAGAGCAAATAAGTAACCTACAGAATGGGAGAAGATATTTGCAAGATATACATCTGGCAAGGGCCTAACATCCAGAATCTACAAATAACTCAAACAAATCAGAAAAAAAGGCAAATAACCCCATTAAGAAGTGGGCAAATGACATAAGCAGACATTTCTCAAAAGAAGATATACAAATGGCCAACAAACATATGAAAAAAATTTCAACATCAGCAATCATCAGGGAAATGCAAATTAAAACCACAATGAGATACTACTACCTTATACCAGTCAAAATGGCCATTATTAAAAAATAAAAATTAAAAAAAAAGATGCTGGTGCAGATGCAAAGAAAAGGGAACACTTAATACACTGTTGGTGGGAGTGTAAGTTAGTATAACCTCTATTGAAATTGGCATAGAGATTTCTCAAAGACCTAAAAGTAGATCTACCATTTAATCCAGAAATCCCACTGCTAGGTATCTACCCAAAGGAACAGAGGTCATTATATTAAAAAGACACCTGTACCTGCATATTCATTGTAGCATAATTCACAGTTGCAAAGATGTGGACTCAACCTAAATGACCATCAACTGATCAGTGGATAATGAAAATGTAGAATATATACACTAAGGGATACTATTCAGCTATCAAAAAGAATAAAATAATGTCTTTTGCAGCAACTTATATAGAATTGGAGAACATCGTCCTAAGTGAACTAACTCAGGAACAGAAAACAAAATGCTGCATGTTCTCACTTATAATTGGGAGCTAAATCAGGATTTGAAAAGGCATAGAGAATGATATAATGAACATTGAAGATTCAGAAGATGAAGGGGAGAAGGGACGGGGGGGGGGGGGGAGGAAAAATCACCTATCAGGTACAATGTGCACAGGTGGGGGTGGTTGGCACACTTAAAGCTCAAACTTCATCACCACTATACAATGCAATCTTGTAACCAAAAACTATTTGTACTTCCTAAAGCTATTGAGATAAACAAGAACAACAACAACAACAGCAATCTTAGGTCATGGAATGCTGAAAAGGGAAGTTTTAGTCTCTAGAAATATATAACTACATATCAGTTCATTTAGAATAGGTTCTCTCTGTTCCACGTTCAAAACCAAAGTTGACCATTCTTTCTACATTTTTAACCAGAGAGGCTGCTGGAGGAAGGGGGGAAATGGACGAATTCACTTACCATCATGAGCAAGAGAATCAAACATAAAAATAATAAAGCCAGGGACACCTGTGCAGGTCTTGAAGGGAGTTTAAGAGAGGATTCATCCCATGAGCTAAAGTTCTCACTGCTTCTTTTCAGGGATGGGCAAACCTCTGCCCACAAGCCAGCTGTCAAAGAACATTCTGCTTTATCTGCCACTGATGTGTGGACTGGGACACAACCTGAGAATCTGTGACATCCATAGCAAGAGCACTACCACCTCCAGAGGGACAGCTATCCAGAGACAGGTGCTATATGTTTAGTAAAATGCAAATATCTCTGTACTTGCCTTGCTTTTCAATATGATAGGCATCTCATGGCAGTTACTTCAAGGACAAGAATCCATGGCTAATAATATAAAAGTTGTGGCATGCTTGGAGATGTATCAAGGAACAAGAGAGATGAACAGGAAGTACCACCCTAGCCTAATAAAAGAGCAGAATAACTGGCATCCATTTTCTCTCTTGGCCGAGGTTCTTGGCCCTCAGGAAGGGGAGAGGAAGAGCGGAGAGGACATTCAATAGAGTCTTTACTTCAATAAAAACAATCAAGTTGAAGAAAGAGGGGCTATGTAGTTATATGTCACCCAAAGTGAAAGCGAAGCTATTCTTACTTATATGAAACCATTTTTAAAGTTCATCGTTTAAGAGAGGGCCATGATCCTAGATGATAAAATTAGGCTTCCAGTCATGGTTATGAAAATGCTACCCTATATTTTCTCCTTGTAACAAAAAATTGCCAGAAGAAATACTAGAAAGAGCATGAGAGATAAAGAAAGACAATGCAAGAGAAAAGAAAGAATAAGAGTAAAAGACAATATTAAAGAGATAGGGCTGTGAGTGGGAAAAATAGATAAATGCCCATCCACTGTGGCTGAAATCGTATTCTCTATGTTTTAGCATCTCTGATAACAATCAGTTTTAATTTTTCTAGAGTTTGCCGAAATTAACTTTTTTTCCTCTTTATTTTATTTTAAAGATGCGGCTACAAGTTAGGATTAAGTACACAAGTGGTCTATGTACAGGTGAAGTTTGGGCCTCTCACTGATCCTCACTTCTGGTTTAGAATCAGGTATCCTTAGTGATGTTATGTACCCCCACTCCCTCCCTGGTAGTGTCCTGCTACTGCTGATGCCTCTATTGTAGTATTGTGATAAATGTTCAGGACCCACTGATGAGGGAGAACATGTGGTATTCAGTTCTTTGTTTGTGTGATAGATTACTGATACGTCAGACTCTAAATTCATCCAAGTTGTTGCGAAGCCCATAATTTTGTCCTTCTTCATGGCTGCATAATATTCCATCATATATATGTACCACATTTAAAGAAATCTAGTCCACCTTCTATGGATAGCAGTGTTGGTTCCATGTTTTTGCTATTGTGAATAGTGCTGCAATAAATATGCGTATGCAGGTATCATGTTTTTTTTAGAATGATTTGAGTTCTTCCAGGTATACTCCCAGAAGGAGGATTGCTGAGTCATATGGGAGGTCAATTGATCTAGAAATTGAAGTTAACTTTCTTATATACTTCTTGAACACTTGTATTGCATCAGTCTTATACTATTCATATAGTCAGACACAGAGACATGGCTGAAATCAAAGCTGGTTTTCCCTCATAATGTGAACTCATTCTCCCTAAAAGATTATGCCCATGGGACAAGTGTGACATTGAAACACTACTTTGACTGCTGTTTCACTTTCTTTATTTGGAACCCCTCACCCGCTTTCTCTTTAAACGTGTTTGGGTCATTCTGATCGCTGGTGAGCGCATGTGAGCTGCGGAATCAGGGCAAAGGAAGCAGTGAAGAAGCAATTTCCTCTTGCCTTTTAAAATCATGGATATTTCTATGCCATGAGGCCAAATAAAGTTTTTAGGCAGGAATGGTTTTTCTTTCCATACTTTTTAAAGATAGCACAGTGGCGATCCAGTGATTAAAGCTCATTGTCTGAATGACAAAGCTTCTGGCCCAATGTGTCCCGTCATTGTTGCGGCTCCTACTGATTCAATTAGGGACAGCACACTGGGAGGAGTTCTGCCTGGTTTCCATGTACCTAAGACTTTTATTTTTATCACATACTAACTTGATTTTAAACAAAGCTTTGAAGCTTCCCAGGGCTAATCTTTAATGAAAATGGAGAGGCAAATAAAAAAGGCTAAAATAAATTCCAATGAAAGCAGCAAAAGTGTTAATTCAGGGAGGCTAGAAGAAGATAAAAATGAAAATGGTGTTTAAAAGAGGCAAGGATGGATTCAGTAAAAAGAAATATTCAAAATGTAACAGTGATGAGATTAGTTAAAACAGTCTGGTTTTACGTTTTATTAATTTTCTCCACTGCCTGAAGTATCATTTTAAAAAGCAGAATATTAAAGATACCAATAAGAAATAATTATTAAATTATATGGTTTGCAGGGATTGAGCAATGCTACTAAAACTTAGAATATTAAAACTGTTATATCTAAGCCCTTCTTTTTCCTCATTCTTAATATTTTCTGGAATATCTTTTCACTGAAAAAAAAATTCCACATTGATGCCGATTCAAAAGAAACCCATTATGAAAGCTGATCAACCTGGTTAGAGTTATGAAAAGAATACTGACATGTAGATTTGTTTTGAAAGAATAGTAAGGAATGATATATTTGATCTTTAAAATCTAGGCGTTACATTACTGCTAAATTATAACTAGGTTAAGATTAGCTGAGGCTGGACAGCATTCTGTTCCACCCAGCTCAGCTCACATTCTTTAAAAGAGCATCAAACACTGGAACCAAGTTAGAAACATCTGAATGGGTTGAGTTGGTTAAATACTTATGATAAAAGTTATTATTTTTCATAATAACTGAATTTTATACTATCTCTCCTAAATTACTCCATATAGGTGATTTTTTATTACATACCTACGCTTTTCTCTTTCCTCCTCTTCCTGGGTTGCAAATACTTTCCACTGGAAATGGGCAATGATGTTACTGCGGTTGTGAATGGTTACTGTTCGCTGATTGGCCAGAGATATGTAGGTTTTCTCAATGATCAAGGAATTCTTATCCAGTCTTATATTCATGTCTATGGCAGCTCCATAGAGACATATAAACACCTTTTCACCTAGGAATTAACAAAATACAAACAGACTTCAAGATTTATTCTAGCTGGGCTCGGCGGCTCAGCCTGTAATCCCATGCTTTGGGAGGCCGAGGTGAGTAGATCGCCTGAGCTCACGGGTTTGAGACCTGCCTGGGCAACTTGGCAAGACCTCATCTCTACAATAAATCAAAAAAAAAAAAAAAATAGCCGTGCGTGGTAGCACGCACCTGTAGTTCCGGCTACTTGGAAGGCTGAGACTGAAGGATCACTGGAGCCCAGCAAGTCGAGGCTGCGGTGACTGGGAGCGGCCACTGTATTCCAGTCTGGGTGACAGTGAGACTCCAACACACACACAAAAAGAAGATTTATTCTAGAATGAAAATCCTTGGCTATTTTTTTTTTCCAAGCTGAAGTTGGACAATGTAACAGCATTAGACATTTCATTTTTTCCCTCCCACCCATATCAATCCAGAGATCAGACATGATCAGAAAACTTAAATATTATGTTTGGTATAGTTATAAGAAATACTGTAAACTATTTTGCTTGGTCATTATAAGAAGAACATAAACTAAGAATTGTTGTGGTGGATGGTCTAAGACTTTTTCTCCTTCATAAATAGTTTTCAATCTTACTGTCTGGCCAGGAGGCAACTGAGTTCTAGGATTATAACCATATGCCTCATCTTTAGCTCATGCATGAGCTGGATTTGTAATTCTTAAAATGTTTGCACCAAGTACACTTGGGAAGAGCTGCTCAGCATGAGAGGATTTAAGTCCAATCAAGAACAGGGATCAGGAAGGAAAATTCAATAACTTCAAAAATAGAAAACTGACTATTTTAAAGGAACCACATCCCTAAATTATAGCAATTAAAACAAAACACACACACACACACACACACACACACACACACACACACACACACACCTGCCATGTCTAGATAATGGTTGCATAAAAATAAAACAAAAGTAGACAAAAAGTTATATTTAAAATTTTTAGATATTAAGAACACCTTTATTCAGCATAGTAATTTAAGTCCCTGACTTTCTTCAAGGTGTACCAACTACCTTGATTCTAGGTGTTTAAGGCCCCTGGGCTTTCAAGAAGACATAAAGCTACAAACAATATTCCATTTGATCTCTGCAATGTCACAGTAGGTGCTTTACTCTGATATCAACATAGAAAAAATAAATACGTAAATACTGTGAATGTTTTGTTGATCTGTGCTGCTAAAGTTTTAATCCAAACCCAAAAAGCACAATTCCTTGCACCTTATTTTTTGGCAACCATTTCTACTTCATTCACTATTGTATGCACCAAACAGCCAGTCAGTAAATTGACAACACTTTATATATTTTAAATGTTCTTTAGGCACTATAACTTTAGATACACAAAAAGCTTTTCCCAAAGTTTAAAGAAAAAGTAAGGCATTTAGGCATTTATTCTAAAATTCAGATTTTTATTTAAAAACTTATACATAGAGCCAAAATTTCAAGTACTATAAAAGCACATACAATAAAACTAAGATGTATTTCTCCTTTTCACTTAATCCAAAGCCTACTTTTTTAGAGATAAAAATTGTTAATATTTTCATGTACCTCCTTTCCCCCCCCAAATCCATGCATGTTTATCAACTTTTAAACTTTCTGTTGAGTGAAAACTTGCTGTTACTTTATGTGCATATTCTTAATTATGGATGCTGTTGAACACTTTTTCATATTATTAATTGACTTAAGCCAAAAGGAAAACCTTCCCCACAATAATATAATAATCTGATATGCAAAGAACTATGCCTTTAAGATGAGTGTGAACTGGAAGCAGATTAGCCTTAGTTCAGAATTAAATATCATGCTGGAATTGTCTATGCATTACAAAGAACTTCAAGTCTTGAACTTGATGGTCATTGACTGGTTATGCCCTCAGATATCTGAAGGAAGGAAATCATTTATCTTTGAAGGAAAGTGCCTGCATTCAAAGTTTCATAATTTTCAACATTTTTTGAAAGCACATAACCAAACACAATGAGTCATGCAAAAAAACTCCATGTGGTAGAACTAGCAGATACAAGAAAAGCAAATATAGGCCCACAAAATATCAGATACTAGGAATAATCAGTTATAGACTATAAACCATTTATATTTAGTATGTTTAAAGAAACAAATGGATGACCCCTGGCCAGAATGACTAAAAAAAGAAAAAGAAAGTTCAAATAAACACAATTAGAAATGCAAAAAGTGAAGTCACAAATGACCCTGAAGAAATTCAAAAGATTATCAGAGATTACTGTGAACACCAGTATGCAAATAAACTAGAAAACCTAAAGGAAACGGAGGACTTTCTGACATCATGCAACCTCCCAAAGTTAAAACAAGAAGAAATTGGAACTCTAAACAGACCAATAACAATACAGGAAATTGACTTAGTCATAAGAAATCTCTCCGCCAAAAAAAAGCCTGGAACCAGATGGCATCCCAGCTGAATTCTACAAGACATACAAGGAGGAGCTGATTCCAATCTTACTGAAAGTATGCAATAAGGCAGTTGAGAATTATGGAATTCTCTCCTACTCATTTTAGGAAGCTAACATCACACTGAAACCCAAACTTGGCAAAGATCCAACAAGGAAAGTGAATTATAGGCTAGTATCCTTGGTGAACATAGACACAAAAATGTTCAACAAGATTCTAGCAAATCAGATCCAACAACACATCTCAAAGATCATCTACCATGACCAAGTGGATTTCATTCCTGGGATTCAGGGCTGGTTCAACATTCTTAAGACCATAATGTAATTCAGCACATTAACAGATGTAAAACCAAGAACCACATATGATTATATTATTAGACACAGAAAAAGCATTTGACAAAATCCAGCATCCCTCCTTGATAAAAACCCATGAGCACTTAGGCATAGAAGGAACATTCCTCAAAACAGAAAAAGTCATCTATGATAAACCCACAGCCAACATATTGCTCAATAGGTAGAAGTTGGACGCATTCTTACTAAGTATGGGAACAAGACAAGGATGCCCACTCTCACACCTCCTGTTCAACATAGTCTTGGAAGTCCTAGCCAGAGCAATCAGGAAAGAAAAGGAAATCAGGGGTATCCAAATAGGAAAAGAGGATGTTAAGCTATCCCTCTTTGTGGACAATATGTTTTATACCTTGAAAACCCTAAGGAGTCTATCAAAAGCCTCCTCTCACTGATAAACAACTTTGGTCTCGAGTTACAAAATCAATGTGCAAAAAACAGTTGCATTTTTATATGCTAGCAACAAGCAGAGAACCAAATAAAAAGCACAATCTCATTCACAATAGCCACAAAAAAGTAATACCTTGGCATCCACCTAATCAGAGAAGTGAAAGACCTTTACAAGAACAACAAAACACTGCTCAAAGAAATAAAAAGGACACAAACAGAAAAACATTCCATGCTCATGAATTGGAAGAATCAATATTGTCAAGATGTCCATCCTACCCAAGGCAATCTAGAGATTCAATGCAATATCCATCAAATTACCAACATCATTTTTTTTCAAACTTGGAAACAATAACACAAAAATTCATATGGAATCAAAAAAGAGCACAAATAGCCCAAACAATCTTCAGCAAAAGGAACAAAGTGGAGTGTATCACATTTCCAGACTTTAAACTTTTTTTTTCCAGTTGGAGTCTCACTCTGTTGCCCAGGTTGGAGTGCTGTGGCATACTCACCGCCACCCTAGTGTCAACCTGCTAGACTCCGGCAATTCTTCTGCCTCAGCCTTCCAAGTAGCTGGAGATACAGGCACGTGCTGCCTTTCCTGGCTAATTTTTATTTTATTTTATTGTAGAGACGAGGTCTCACCAAGTTGCCCAGGCTGGTCTTGAACCCATGGGCTCAGGCAATCCACTCGCCTCGGCCTCCCAAAGTGCTGGGATTACAGGCTGAGCCACCAAGCCTGGCCAGACTTTAAACTTTACTACAAGGCTACAGTAACCAAAACAGTCTGCTATTGGTACAAAAATAGGCATATATACCAATGAAATAGGACAGAGATTCTGAAAGCAAAAACAACCAAATCATTTAGGGAAAGCTCCTAAAACAATCACTGGGGAAAGAAGACCATATTTAGCAAATAGTGCTGGGAAAAGTGGCTAGCCATATGCAGGAGAATGAAACTGGACCCCTACATATCACCATATACAAAAATCATCTCAAAATGGATCAAAGACCTAAACATAAAACCTCAAACTAAAAGAATCCTAGAAGAAAATGCAGGAAACACTTTTATGCACACTGGAGTAGGTAACCAATTTTTGAACAGGTCCCCAAAGGTGATTGCCATAAAAACTAAGATAGACAAGTGGGACCTCATCAAACTTAAAAGTTTTTGCACAGCAAAAGAAACCATTAGGAGAGTAAAGAGACAATCCACAGAATGGGAAAAAAATATTTGCAAATTATGCCTCTGACAAAGCTCTAACATCCAGGATCTACAAGGAACTCAAACAAAGTGAAAGGAAAAAAACAAACCCCATTAAAAAGTGGGCAAAGGACATGAACAGACACTTCTCAAAAGACGACATACAAGCAGCCAACAGATACATGAAAAAATTCTCAGCCTAACTAATCATCAGATAAATGCAAATCAAAGCTATAATGAGATACCACCTAACTCTGGAAAGGATGGCTATCATTAATAAGTAAAAAAAAAACACAGATGTTATGCGAATGTGGAGAAAAGGGAATGCTTCTATACAGTTGGTGTGAGTGCAAGCTAGTGCAACCTTTATGAAAAGCAGTGCAGCAATTTCTAAAAGAACTAAAAATTGACCTTCCAAATAACCCAGCAATCCTTCGCCTGTGAATATACCCAGAAGAGCATAAATCATTCTATAAAAAAGATACCTGCACACACTTTTACTGCCTCACTATTCACAAGAGCAAAAAAACATGGAACCAATCCTACTGCCCATTGAAAGTGGACTGGAAAAAGAAAATGTGGTACATATACACAATAGAGTACTATGCAGCC